ATAAAAAAACACATTGCCTACAGAAGAACAACGATTTGAATGATGGCTGACTTACAAGAAACAACAAAGATGAGGAGATAATGGAATGATAGCTTTAAAATGCTTAAAAAAAATGTCAACTGAGAATTCTATGTCTGGTAAAAACATTCTTCAAAATTGACAGTGAAATAAAAATGTTTAATTAAATAAAAACAAATTCTTTGTTCTTAGCAAGCCTGTACTAACTGAAAGAGTAACAAATTATTCAGGCTGAAGACAAATAATATGTGATAAAATTTTGAATCCATAAGAAGTAATTAAGAGCACTAGAAACATTATATATGTGGGTAAATATAAAACATTTTTCTTTAAAAAAAAAAAAAAAACCTGTTACTTAAAAAATAATAATCGCATACCAAGAGTTTTATATCACATGTAGAAATAAAAACATATGACAAAGTAAGAAAACAAATGGGAAAATTTAATAATACTATTATGTTTTTAAAATTTCATTTGTAGTAGCATAATAATGCAAGTAAGACTGTGATAAATTAAAGATATATATTGTAAATCCCCATTGTACCTTCAGCATAAAAGCCAATAGTTGTGATCAAATTTTTTAAAATCATTAGATTAACAAAAAATACACAAAGGAAAAAAAGAAGAGCAAAGAACACAGAGAACAAATAGAAAACAGAGACCAAGGTGGCAGAAGTAAATCCAACCACATCAATAACTGTATTAAATATAAATAAACCAAATACTTTAATTAAAAGGCAGAAGTTTCCAAGCAAAATACAAAAGGAAGACCCAACAATATGCTATTTAAAGTGATACTTGTGTTCAAAGATACAAATAAATTAAAAAGCTGCTGTGATCACATTAATAGCAGCCATGTCGAATTCCAAACAAGTAGTATTTTCAGAGATAAATACTTTCTAATGATAAAAGAGTCAATTCATCAAGAACACAAAGTAATCCTAAATGTGCATATATTAACATAATTTGAAAATACATAATCACTGACAAAATTAAATATAATAGAAAATTCACAAGCATACATAAAGATGTTTACGCTTTTTTCTCAGTAATTAACCTTTTAGAAAGCAACAAAACTCCATAAGGATACGGGAGACTTACCCTAAGTGAGATTTATAAAATGCTATACCAGTAACTATGGGATATATATTCTTTTCAAGTGTAGAGGGCATGTTTACCAAGATAGATCAAATGCTGAGTTATAAGTCTGAATAAATACCAAATGATTGCAAATAAACAGAATTGGGAGTGAGAACCTGAGACAAGTGAGAGAGGTGAGTCTGTCTGGATGCCTGTTCTAGATTTCTCAGGGTCTTGGTGTTGAAATGGTGAGGCTGAAAGATGACAGTGAAGGGACAGGAATGAGAAGAACACAGGTAAGGGGGTATGTGCAATGTCCAAGGAAGGGAAAGGTCAAGGATGACTCTACAGTGTGAGCCTGAGAAGGAATGGAATCGCTACTTGCTGAAGTAGAAAAGACTGAGGAAAGAGTACATTTGGGGATGGGAAGAGAAGCAAGAGTGCAATTTCTACTAGATTCCCATGTAAAAACGTGCGGTTGCCAGTTAGAATTTTGAGTCTGCAAGGTACAAGTTGAGCATGCAAACAAACAGCTACAACAAAGAGAGAGTTGTCTGTGTAGAATACACTAATAATATTTTAAATAACCATTACTTTAAACTCATTTCAAACCAATACCGTATTTGAGAACTTCTACCCTATAGGTTTCAGCTATAAGTTTATATCAGAATTTAACACTGTATTCCCATTAATTACAAACAACAGAAAAATGCATCCAGAAAGATGAGGAGTCAGGGCATCTCACACAAGGGTCACTGAGAGGTATGAGATAAGAAACAAACCAAATTGCCAACCTGTATTCCAGGGCCTGATTTTGGGTTTTGTTTTCTGGCTAAGAAAGAAAAATGATTGTAAATTATAGTTTTACTTCTCTCCCTTCCCATCACATCCCAGAAATTAAAGGAATTGGTAAAATGTAAGTTCTGAAAGACTTATAGCCATAGTTAAGACCATGATACCTCAGAAAGATCAGAAACATTTGCTATTTTCTGGAAGAAATAAAACACCAATGCAAATCACTTTCAAATGCAAATCCTAAGCAAGCATAATTCTGGTTAACGCATGAAAGGTGGGTTCTGCTAAGCTCCTTTGATTCTCCAGGAAGACTGATGGCGTAATTATACTCTGGAGAGGAAGGTTAAGAAACTGTGTTGAAACTTATTAAATATAACATGCAATGACTTTTCGATTTTGTTTGGAAAGTGTGCTTAAAAATAATTATATTTTAAATGGAATTTATAAATATCTTATACCACTTAAATGAATGGTAGAGGATTCTGCTGCAGCACAATTATGTTATGTCTGACAAGCTTTATTTCCTATAAGTGAGAACTCACTGGGATCTTCCACAGGATCAAAGGGCTGGAAGGTTTGTAAAGCATCTGTAGGCATACTTTTGTGTTCATATGTACATCAATGTATAGTGCTTAAAAATAACTGTATACATATATGCAAACATAGCCAATAGTATGGGCATTTGCAGCCCTCCTCTCTCTCTTGTGGAGTAACATGTTTTCCCAGCAACCAATTTCTTCCCTGCCAACCCATCCTTCAGTCTGCACCTAGTGTGATCATTCCAAACTGAAAACCTGGTCATATCACTCCCCATATTAAAACCACTAGTGTCTCCTCATCTTCTGCTAACAGAGCCAGCTTCAGGGACTTGCAACCCATGCTTACAATATTCTGCTCTCAGGAGGGCTCAGTGCTGGGTTTAATGATCTCCAGGTAAGATAATTTCCGAAGTCATGAGGGTTTGGGCTTCAACATGGCTTATTTTGGGAGACACAATTCAACCTACAGCATTAGGCATTCAAGGACTTTTCTCGTTTTCCCCTCAAGCACCTAAAATAACAGACATTTTCTAAAGGACAGGGGCTCATTATCTAATCCTCCCTAAGTGCCCATTCCAGCCCCCAGTCTCTTCATAGGGCCTGCCAAGAAATACATCAGAAACAAGGCTCCAAGACTCAAAAGTCAACTTGCTCTTTTGTCTTTGAGATTTTGCTCTGGAAGTGATTACCATGGAGCATGCACAGGAGCAGAAGTTATACATCCAGTGCTCCCATCCACCATTCCTCCATTTTCATATGTATGAACGCCTTCTTGTGTGACGTTCCATGAGCGCAGCCTTCTGTGGACTCAGGAGGTCCCACAGGATCCAAAGGAAGTGCAAGATAAGTGGGTTTCGTCTGCAGCTGGGTGCTTGGGACACTGATGGCCCTAAAAGACTGCACATTCTGTTCCATCCAGAATAACTTGCTTCAAACACAGCAAGGGAGAGATGGTGCTCTGAGTGAATGGAACCGCCAAGGAGCTCTACCATATCCTTTCTCACTTGTGTCTTCGTGTCCAAATTTCACCTCTTTACAAGGACACCACTTGGATTGTACTGGGCCCACCCTAACGCCCTCATTTTAATTTGATTACCCTGTATCTCCAAGTAAGATCATTTCCAAAGTAATGAGGGTTTGGGCTTGAACATGTCTTATTTTGGGAGACACAATTCAACCTACAGCATTAGGCATCCGAGGACTTTTCTTGTTTTCCCTTCAAGCACCTAAAATGACAGACATTTTCTAAAGGACAGGGCTTATTACCTAATCCTCCCTAAGCCCCTGTTCCAGCCCCTAGTCTCTCCATAGGGCCTGCCAAGAAATACAGCAAAAACAAGACTCCAGGACTCGAAAGTCGGCTTGATCCACATCAGCAGCAACAACGTGACACAAGGAGACTGCTCCCCAGCCACCAGTTCCACATGACTAGCCAGAGTCAGGCTTCTAAAAACGGGTCTCCGCCTTCCTGACAGGTAGCATGAGGGTTCAGCCAAAGCAGCTCTGAGGAGAGTCCATCGGAATGTGCTATTTCCTAGGAGAATGGAAATGAGAAAGAACTGCCTCACAGCTGGGATGGAATGTTAGCTGGGAGGAAGCCAGAGCCACCTTCTTCTAGCCGCATAAACAGCAGCCCCCTGTCTGCCTTCTCTCCATGTTTTATTGCCTTCCGTGTTGAGCCAGGCGTCCTCCTGAGTGCTCCCCATGTATGATGAAGCCATTCATATATGGCTACCTCACTCCATCCTCACAAGGACCATGTCAGAGTGCATCCCCATTCTCCAGTGGAAGAAACTGAGGCTTGGAGAGGATAAGTAGTTGGCTCATGGCTCACACAGCCAACATGCAGAAAAGGCAGGATTTGAACCCAGACTTGTGTGACCCCAAAATCTGTGCCTTTGACCTACACGTAGAATCTTCAGTCATAAAATTTTACTAAGTCTTATACAGTGCTTATTACTGCCAGACTGTGTAAGCACTTTACATATATTAACTTATTTAGTACTCACACCAATGTATGAAGTAAGTACGATTTAACCCTCATTTTGCAGATGAAGAGACTGAGGGTCAGAGTGGTGAGAAAACTTACTCAGATCACTCAGCTAGAAAGTAGCAGAACCAGCTTTCAACTCCAGGCAATTCAGCTCCAGGTTCTGTGCTCCTAACCACTATGCTATGTCAGGGGCATCCCTGGTGGAATTTTCCATGATGGAGCTGGATACGGGTCTTGGTACATCTCAGATACATATAAGCACAAGGCCCATAGCCTATCTCTAAACTGGGCTGGAAGGTGGAGTGTAGTTTAGAGAACTGCCTAAAAGAGCACACGGTGCAGCTCCAGTATCAAAAAGAAAGTGTGGTACTCACACTCCCTCAAGAACCTGCCATTACACTGAACTAAAACACAAACCCCTAAGCTGAGCATACCTTGCAGACCTCTCCATAGCTCCACACTTGCGTCTGTACAACTGCCACGCAGCACTACTGCTCGTTCGCACATTTACAAATGCATTCCAAAATTATCCATGGAACAAGTCACACACTAAAGGTCTACAAAAGGTTAACAATATCAAAGGTTACTATCTATGGACATTTGCCAAGGGAATAGCTCTTACGTTCTTGCGACATATATATGCATACACAAAGGTAACTATGTGAGTAATGAATATGTTATTGAAAAAATCTTACTGCACTGAGTATCACTGTTTTGCATCCATCTTAATTTTTATTTTATCTCATTTTCCGTTTGGAGTAGTCACAATCCAGCTCAAATTTAAAGCAGAAATATGAAGTGTCCCTGTAAGAAAAATCTATAAAAATCATCATTAAGATAGAGAAGAGTATCAAACGATAGTACAGGTAGTACATGGCTATGGTAAAAAAAAATAATTCTGCAAGCAGGATGCAAATTAATGAGTCTTGGGAAAGGCCAACATGAGGGAAAGAGCTTTTCAGTTACACAGAAAGAAGCGAGACCAAGCACCACAATTTTATCACCTAAGACAACTCAGTTAACCTCTTGGAACTCCAATATCTCCGGGTATAAAATGGAGCTAATGAAACCTCTCTCAGACTGTTATCCTAAACATTAGAAATTGGCAACTTGGCTGGAACTGGAGGCCATGATTCTAAGTGAAGTAACTCAGGAGTGGAAAACTAAATGCTGTATGTTCTCACTTACAAGTGGGAGCTAAGTATGCAGAGTGCTGTAATAGACATTGAGACTCGGAACAGGGGAGACTGGGAAAGTGTGAGAGATGAAAAACTACATAATGGGTACAGGGTATGCTCCCTCAGTGACCGGTGCACTAAAGTTTCAGACTTCACCATTATATCAGGTTGGTGCAAACGTTCTTTTGGTTTTTGCCATTGAAATTTAACTTTCAATGGATGAATTGTATAAGTTGGTGCAAAAGTTATTGCGGTTTTTGCCATTGAAAGTAACGTAAACAATTCATCCATATAACCAAAAACTACTTTGATATGGTTTGGATTTGTGTCCCTGACCAAATCTCATGCTGAATTATAATCCCCAAGGTGGAGCTGGGATCTGGGGGGAGGTGACTGGACCATGAGGGAGGACTTCCCACTTCGGTGCTGTTGTCATGATAGAGTGCTCATGAGATCTGGTTGTTTAAAAACATGCAGCGTCTCCTCCCTCTCTCTTATTCTCCCGCTCCAGCCAGGTAAGATATGCCTGCTTCCCCTTTGCCTTCCGCCATGATTGAAAGTTTCCTGAGCACCCCACCCCACCCCCGCTAGAAGCCATCATGCTTCCTATACAGCCTGCAGAAACATGAGCCAGTTAAGCTTCTTTTGTTTATAAATTACCCAGTCTCAAGGTATTTCTTTAGAGTAGTATGAGAATGGACTAACACACACTTGTACCCTTAAAGCTGTTGAAATAAAAATAAAAATAAAGATCATATAACATTACATATAACAAATGTTTGGCCCATAGTAGGTATTTATTAAATATAATTTTATTTTCCCTTTCCCTATGCTTTCTCCTTTAGATACTGGGAAGGAACCTATAACCTTTCAAAGGTTACACAGTGATTTTTCTTAGTCTTTTCGGATACTCAAGAACCAACAGCTACAATGATAGCCACTTTCTAAAGCAGTGGGGCCTACAGGAGAAACCTCAAGAGCCACAGACCCAGTGCTTGTAAAGTCTACAGTCTTGTGGGGGAGACTGACTGATATGGTTTGGCTGTGTCCCCACCCAAGTCTCATCTTGAATTGTAGCTCCCATAATTGAATCATGAGGGTGGTTCCCCATCCTGTTCTCATGGTAGTGAATAAGTCTCCATGTAGTTCCCATAACTGAATCATGAGGGTGGTTCCCCCATCCTGTTCTCATGGTAGTGAGTAAGTCTCACAAGATCTGATGGTTTTATAAGGGAAGAGCCTTTCACTTGGTTCTCATTCTCTCTTGCCTGCTCCCATGTAAGAAGTATCTTTTTCCTTCCACCATGATTATGAGGCCTCCCCTCAGCCACACAGAACTGTGAGCACATTAAGCCTCTTTCCTTCATAAACTGCCCAGTCTCAGGTATGTCTTTGTCAACAGTGTGAAAATAGACTAATATACAGTACTGACTTAAGGAAATAGCCAGATGAGTAAAGGCAGAATTACAACTGTGTTCAATGCTATGAAGGAGCACAGCATAGAAGGGGACCTTCTAGGAAGAATTACCCAGTCTAGGAAGCAGATAAAGCATCTTAAAGAAAGATAAGTGTAGATGCGGAGTCAAATGTGCTAGGATGGAGACAGTGTTTGAGGCAGAGTGAACAACATACAGTAAGGCCCTGGGGAAGGAGTAAACTTTTTAAAAACTGAAAGAATGGCTGTGTGGTTGAAGAGTATAAATAATAACATTGACTACAAGAGGAAGAAATAGCTACATTTATGGGACAGTTGCCATGTGCCAGAGATTTGGCTAAGAACTTTAAGTGCAGTGACTAATTGAACTTATGCAGTGAAGGGGAACACAGTGTGCGGCGAGGTGGGGGAGCTGGGAAGGTTTTAGACCATACAGGGTTTTGAAGGATGTATTGCAGGTTATAATCTTTGTCCTGAGAGCAACGGAAGCCATTGAAAAATGTTAAGCAAGGACACGATCCTACTTGTGATTTGAAGCTATTTTCTAGCTGTTGGGTGTGGGATATTCTGAAAGTGACAAGAGAAGACAGGGAGATCAGTCAGGAAGCCCAGGGGAGCCCACAGGAAACGCGATGTTTGAATTGAGGTGGTGGTGGTGGCTGGAAAGACAGGCAGATGTGTGAGCTACTGAGGAGATAAAATCAAATAGCCAGGTGCTTAATTACATTTGTGTGGAGAAGAGCAAAACCTGAGATGGGTTGGTTTCTGTAACTGAATGGATAATGATACTACACTGAACTAGGAAATTCTGCAAGAAAATTAGTTCAGTGAAGTCGTGCTGAATTTGAGGTAATAATTCTTTTGAGATATCCAAGTGGAATTACAGGAAACCAGAGGTTTGAAAATCAGAGGAGAAATATGAATTAAGGTAAAAAATTATTAAGTCTGGCCAGGCATGGTGGTTCACATCTGTAATCCCAGCAGTTTGGGAGGCTGAGGTGGGAAGATCACCTGAGGCCAGGAGTTTCAGACCAGCCTGGCCAACACAGTGAAACCCTGTCACACTAAAATTACAAGAATTAGATAGGCGTGGTGGCACACGCCTGTAATCCCAGCTATTCAGGAGGCTGAGGCAGGAGAATTGTTTCAAACCGAGAGGCAGAGGTTGCAGTAAGCTGAGATCATGCCACTGCACTCCATCCTGGGCAACAGAACAAGACTCCGTCTAAAAAAAAAATGATTGAGTCACTGTCATATTGAAATATATGTCAGTTATTAATTTATTGACTCTCAGCTCCACATGAAATTTGTGATACTGGAGCTGGGGCCTGCAGACATTTCTCCTTTTCCAGCTGGCCTCGTGTTAGGCGTTGCCAATCGAGGCACAGGAGAGACACTGCAAGGCCAGAGTGAGAAGAGGACTTTCTTCCTTCTTCCAGTGCGCTGTTTCCACTTGGCATTTAGTGGGTTTGTGTCCAGGGGGCCTAGCAGCCCTCATCTCAGTGGCACTCATGGACCAGCTGCAGGTACTCCGTGGCCTGCCTGTTCTGGCAACAATGCTTTCTCCAGAGAGATCTGAATCACAGACTTCGTGGAAAAGGGAGCCACCTTCTAAGTTTCTGAGTCCTTTTTCTTGCTCACTCTTCCTCAGCCCTAGAGAGACTAGGAGTTTTGCTGAAGTTGCTACTTCTATACCTCCTAGAGTCCTCTTTGACTCCACTTAGCAATTAACCTTTTTACTGGTTGACAGTTCTTGGAATTACATTTTCCCTATTTGAAAACTGGTGTGGTTTCTGGGTCCTGACTGCACTCTGACTGATACAGAGTGACTGAACATGCAGAGGTTGACAAGATCACCCAGGGAGACAGCACAGAAAGCTAATAGGAGGTCCCATTGCTCAGTCTTGAGGCACTCCAGGCTTCATTGCAAGAGAGAAGAAGCCAGCCTTGCAAAGTAGCCAGAAAAGCAGGGGGAAACCTCGGACGGTGTAATGTCACCAAAACTAAGAGGAAATACCGCTTCAGTAAATAATATGCAAAAATTTTAAGATGGAGAAAGTTTTCTTATACACAAATATATTTTTATATATTATATACTTATATTACAATAATAAATTTGTATTTATATATAATTGTTATAAACATATACAATATATAATTATATTTTATATATCATATATTTTTGTGTATAAATATACATATTTATACACAACTCTAAGTTTCTCAGATCTTTTTCTTGTTCACTTGTGTATAGCTATGTATATTTATTTATACACACAAGAAACCACAAAGAAAGTTTAACAGGTATGACTAAATTAAAATGAAGACATTTATCATGTCAACAGATATCATAAATGGCTTGAAAAGTGAAATCACAAAACAGGGTAAAATATTTGCAACAAATTACTGACAAAGAAATGTCATGTAGACTATATAAAGAGCTACAAGTCAATCAAAGAAGACAGACTTCTAATTAAAAAATTAACAAAGCTATGAACAGGAACTTCACAAAACTAGACACATGACTGGGAACTAAATATATAAAGACACTTCAACCTCATTCGTGATAAAATGCAATTTAAAACAATGAAATACTATTGTATGCTCAATCAATTGGCAAATATGTAAAAGCAACAGTAATACTGTCAAAGAAATAAAGGTATGTTGTTCAATAAGTTAGCACTTTAAATGTAGCTAACACAGATTAAGACATGCTGCAAATGTAAAATATACACTCAATTTCAAAGACACAATGTGAATAAACTAATTTAAAATATCTCAATAATTCTGATATTTATTACACACTGAAATGATAATATTTAGCCAGCACTCTGGGAGGTCAAGGCAGGTGGATCACTTGAGGTCAGGAGTTCGAGACCAGCCTGGCCAACATGGTGAAATCCCATCTCTACTAAAACTACAAAAATTAGCTGGGCATGGTGGTGGGCACCTGTAGTCCCAGCTACTTGGGAG